TGTACGTGTTTATAACAGTGTTCTTACGATCCTGGAATGTACTGAAAAGCCCTGGAATTTGAAAGGTGTCCTCTAAAATGAACAATCATGATATTTTATAACTTTCAGCATATAAAGCCACAATCAAATTTCAGGTCGCTATAATTCTCATTTTGAAAAAAAACACAGAGAAATTAGGATGACTTAGTCTTGAAAAACTAACACCTGTAAACTGATAAAAAATTGTTGAATTTTATTTAATTTCAGGTGCATGAATATTGTATTAGAGATGTTATTAAAATATTTATAAAATACCCAGAAAACATAGCCATGAAAAATCCAAAATGAGATTATATGTTGTGATTATTTATGTTGATTGGGAATGAGTAATGTTGTTACCGGTCTTAATCCAACTTTGTCTAATGCAAAATACAGTTGTTTTCCCACAATGCAAAATGAAGACATGTTGCAACTTGCCATTAACATTTATTTAATGTAAAGTACCGTAAAATCTGTATTAGAAGCAGCACAAATTTTTTCTGAACAATTGAACCAAAAATTTACCATTTCTCATGTGCGTTTATGCTCAAATAGAAGCCATATCCCCTCTGCTGCATTGTCCTTTTTTAATAGAAGCCATATCCCCTCTGTTGCATTGTCCTTTTTTAATAGAAGCCATATCCCCTCTGCTGCATTGTCCTGTTTTAATAGAAGCCATATCCCCTCTGTTGCATTGTCCTTTTTTAATAGAAGCCCCAGTTTCTAATACAGATTTTATAGTATTTTATTTTTGCTTGGAATTTATTTTCGCTGAAAGGATGATTCGGTAAAATACAATCCAGCAATTGTACCATTTTTCCTATATTTTACCTTCAACTCATCAAAAATAAGTGAAAATAAACTTCATTCAAACACCCTTTAAACGAAAAGTAGTTCCAGCTAAAATAAAGTATTTTACTTCTCATAATTTTACTTCAGTTGTAATACTCACAGAAGTAGATCACCTGACAAAAGATGCCCAGCATGCATTGCGTCGTACTATGGAAAAATACATGGCAACATGTCGTATTATATTATGCTGTAATTCCACCAGTAAAGTCATCCCCGCTATCCGGAGTCGTTGTCTCGGTATTAGAGTAGCGGCACCCTCGATTGAAGAGGTACAGTGTTTTTTTAAACAGTTTTACTAGTGTCATCTTTGTCAACTAAATTATCTACCTTCACAAGTCAGTACAGCTAGTGTTAAAAAACAGTACTCATATAGCAAATTGGAATGTGCTACTTATTTTATTAATAGCAAGATCTTTCTGTGGATGATTTTTCTTTCTATAGCAAATGAGAACTCCACTCATCTATCACTTGCCAAATCAAGGCCAAGTACATTGTATAACTAATTATCACTGTTCCAATTTATACCATTTTGAAGAGATTTCTATAGTGTTGCCTCATTAATCGCTCACTTCAGCTTGTTCTGTGATGCCATTTTAAGCCACTTTCAAACAGCAAAATTTTGAAATTTAAGTCTTATCCCTTGGTGCCTGAAATGACATAATTTATTGTAGCCACTCTCAATGTAATTTCACCATTGGTGACTAGTGAAGGATTAGTGTAAGTCCAGTTGTCTTGCACAAGATAATTTTAATAACAACATGTTGTATTATTTGCTCTCTAGATTTGTCAGATATTACACAATGTGTGCAGAAAAGAGGGGCTCAATCTGCCCAGTGAGCTGGCCAAGAGACTAGCTGAGAAATCTGAGCGCAATCTACGGAAAGCATTACTCATGTGTGAAGCCTGTAAAGTACAGCAGTAAGTTGTCAACATATAATAGCGCAACAAACTCATATTGTATATTTTAACCAGCGTATCGAATTTGCACTATCAGTGGTGTATGTGCTTACGTAAATGATGAATATTTGTCTGTGTTCAAAACAAGTTATATTTCAATGATTCAGCATACAATAAATTTACATTGACATACAAACCACATGCAAACTGTACTGAAAACCATGCCATTGGTAATGTGCACTAAAACTGATGAGTGAGTGGGTGGGTGGGTGGTTGGGTTTGTGTTTGGGGGTTGGTGGGAGGCTGGGTCGTTGGGTTGGGTTGGTTAGGTTTTTTGAGTGGGTGGGTGGGTGATCTTTGATCCTAGGGTCTTGTCGAGGTCTTTTGGATACCAGCCA